ATGGACTAAAGGGAGAATAATTCAGTACAATAGAGGAAGAGAGAAGGCGATAGGTGTAAAGTAAATGAATTATGTGGTAGAAATAAATCCAAATATATCAGTAATTACAATAAATATAAGTAGGGTAATATTCAGCTAATAGATTGCATTTTTAAAAATATAGCTGTTTGCTATTTTAGACTATATTGGAAGAAATTTCTATAATACCAAGATACACACAGCAGAGTTGAAAGGAAAGAGTGGGGGAAGATACCTGGCAAAAACTAATCAAAAGAAAAGTATTGTGGTTATATTAACATAAGACAAAATAGACCTTGAGGCAAAAAGTATTACTAGAGAAATGTTATGAAAATACAGATATTTACAACTGAACCATAAGTACCATGTATTAATATGAAAACTCATGAGATGCACCAAAGTAATTCTTAAGGGATAGGTTTATATACATACCTTAGTAAAGAATAACTGGATATTATACATTTAGCATCTAACTCAAGAAAATCAGTGAGGTGGGACAGGGAGTAAACCCAAAGAAAGTGGAAGGAAAGAAATACTAAAGAACAAGAGTTATTAAGTGAAAATTCAAGAAACGATTCAACAAAACTAAAAGCCGGCTCCTTGGAAAAACTTATCAAATATAACAGAAGACAGAAGTAACAAAATTAGGAATAAAAAAGAAATGTAATTCTAGACACAGCAGCAATTTTAGAAAATAGTAGGATCCAATGAATAACTTTATGACCATAAATTTGAAACACAAAATGGGCAGTTTCTTAGAAAAACTTAATGAAATTGTCTTAAAAATAAAAACCAAAATAGACCTAGAACAATTAAGAAAATTTATTCATTCAAATATTTAATGATTATTTGTAAAATGTGCCTGATGTCATTTTAGGCCCTGGAGATAATAGCAGTGAACAAAAAATACCGGAAGACTCTGTTTTCATGGAGCTTCCTTTGTTGTGGTGGGAGACATCATTAATACATTTATCAGGTGTTGCTAATTCTGTGAAGAACAAAGAAAATGGCCAGGCACAGTGGCTCACGCCAGTAATACCAGCACTTTGGGAGGCCAAGGCAAGCGGATCACCTGAGGTCAGGAGTTCCAGGCCATCCCGGACAACATGGTGAAATGTCGTCTCTACTTAAAATACAAAAATTAGCCAGTTGTGGTGGCACACGCCTGTAGTCGCAGCTACTCAGGAGCCTGAGACAGGAGAATCGCTTGAACGTGGGAGATGGAGGTTGCCGTGAGCTGATATCATACCACTGCATACCAGCCTGGGTGACAGAATGAGGCTCCATCTAAGAAAAAAAAAAGTGAAGGGAGAATGTGCTGTTTTATGTAGGAAAGCCAAAGAAACAGTACAAGACCTGAAGGAAGCAATGGAGCAAGCCAGGTATATATTAAGAGAAAGTGGCCCAGACCTTAGGAGTAGGTGCAAAGGACCTGAGGCAGGAGCATGTTTGGTGGAACAGAATTGAGTATGGTGTATAAGGGAGACTGGCAGAAGCAGAGATTAGTGAGGTAACCAGGGGCTAGATGATGAAATTTTTGCAAAGACTTGATTCTGCAGTTAGAAATTTACCCATGAAATGGAGATGAGTATAATAACTTCCACTCATAAGATTATGAAGTTAATGAATTAAATGGATGTGGATTTTTTTTTTTTGTAAAGCACTATCCAAGTGTAGCAGTAATTTGTCAAATATTTCATCCAGAAGTAGTAATTTGTCAAACATTTATGAAGGAGCACCCGCCATAGGCCAGGACATGTGCTAAGCATAAAGAATACAAAGATGATTAAAACATGGCAGTGCTCACTGCGCAGTATGGGGGACAGGCACATAAATTCTTTTCTGTAGTGTGCTAATGGCAGTAATAGAGCACATATTGTTTGAAGAGTAGAAGTACCATCGAAGTTTAACTTTGTAGCATTTATAAGATAGCTTATTAAAAGGACGCATATAAATATTTTTAGGGTAGCTTATGTTCTCCTGTTAACCCAAGGAGAATGAAAACTTGGCCTTCTCATGATTGTTTAGTGATGTTTCTGCTGAGATGAATACCTGAGTGGCATGCTTACCACACCCATCTGTAGTGTGAATAAACTTACAGTGGTAAGCAAGACATAAATATGGTAAGAAATCTAGAATTTGGAACGTGGTGTATCCATAGCATTTCAGATGACTTTTAATTCTTTGTCTCCAAAGTTGGTTCAACATGAAGTAATACTACTCATTAGTTTTTCTTAATAAATGATATATTGCAAACTTCTGCCATTTCTTTGTTGTTAAAGCTTTATTAGAGGCTTGATAGCCTGACTGGCATGTAGACACTACTGCTCTTTCAGTCTGTTTTGGCAGCTTTCATTCTTCAATCACTCAGCTAGTCTGAAAACTTCCTACCTTCCTAACATTTCATTTGTACTTACAAGTCCTATCCATAATATTATCTTATTGGATCCTCTCAACTCTGTAAGGTAGAGACTGCTTTCGCTATTCCAGACTAGAGACAACTGAGACTTGGTGAGGTTTACTGACAGTCAGGTTCACGTGGTTAAGAAGCGGCAGAGCTGGGATTCGAGCTGTCAGTGACTTCAGAGCCGACCCCCTTTGCCCTTCTGCCTCCCAGGATAGATTGGCAGTGATTGCAGAATGCTTCCTTGCCTGGAGCAATTTGGATATAATGGTCTTTAGCCTGATTGAAATAGGTCAGTACCTTTGTAAGTTTTGAATTATGTGTTTCCCTGCCCTGGAATATAGGTAAAGAAATTAAACATCACCATCTAGTTCCTTTAGGTCCGGACTAAAATACACATACTGTGTCGTGGTTCCAGTCTTGGCTTTGCCCACTGACTGTGTGAGCTTGGGTAAGTTCTTTAACCTGGCTTTGGGGTGCTTCTGCTATAAAAGAAGGGGACTGGATTAAATAATTTTCTCTATTTTCTACCAGCTCAATAAATTATCTGATTCTATTCTCTACCAAGATTAAAGATTAAGATCAACTTCTTTGGTCATCTAGAAGCTATTGTTCCAAATGAAATAAGAAAGTATGGATAGTAAGTAAACGTACACCAGGCTAGTAGTTTTTGCCATCCTAAAGCGTATGTGTTGTGTGCCCAATCTTAAGGGCTGGGGCTGTTCCCAGAAGGCCTGTGCTGGTCACAAACAAAATGGAACACTCAAAAACTAAGCACTAAAAATATCTCATAAAAATGCTTCCTCCATGCACTCACTGGAACAGGTAATTACTGTGGCAACAACAAACTAATTTGAAGTGATAGCTGTTAATTAAAACATTGCAGAGGTGTATAGTTTGTCTTTTGGTGTAACCAGAGCCTCCATTCAAACTTCATTAATCACTTTACAGTTAATGTGTTGAGGGAGGTCAAGACAATTGAGATGCAGTATCTGTTGAAAGTAAACAAATTCCTTTTCTCTAAGTAAATACCACTTGCAAAGTTAAGGGACACACTCGACTCATGGCTGGCATTGCCTTTGTCATCCACTTCTCCTTGATGATTAAATGTTAAATTGGTACTGTCACTGCACTGTAAACCAAACCACATAGCATCTTTATTGCTCGAAATCGAACCCAAACTTCCACGGATGAATTAGCGTGCGTCATAATTAAATTATCAAGCGTCCCCTTTTAATTCAGTTGGAAATAGGAGACCTTTCTTTTAGAAAAGAGATCGGCTTTCTTGACAAGCTAATTAAGTTGCCAAACTGTCCAGCATGGTATGTATATTAGACTATCTGCTAATCATTTTCTTATCGCTGCTGTTTGTCTCAAACGCCCAGGTGTTGCTTATTCAAAGTACCAACACTGATCTTTTTACAACTTTTGAATCCTTGTATATACATTTAATTATTTGTCTTTATATTTCAGTTCTTGGTTAGTAAATCTAATATATAATATTTTTTAAAGTTGGAGTTGGAAGAATCTGTGATGTGGAAGGGGAAAAATAATATATCACAAAATCTTACGTATTCTATTACCTGTATTTACACGGAATAAACTTACTAATTTCCTTTATTTTTATTTTTATTTTATTTATTTATTTTTTTTGAGACGGAGTTTCACTCATGTTACCCAGGCTGGAGCGCAATGTCGTGATCTCGGCTCACCACAACCTCCTCCTCCTGGGTTCAGGCAATTCTCCTGCCTCAGCCTCCTGAGTAGCTGGGATTACAGGCACGCGCCACCATGCCCAGCTAATTTTTTGTATTTTTAGTAGAGACGGGGTTTCGCCATGTTGACCAGGATGGTCTCGATCTCTTGACCTCGTGATCCACCCGCCTCGGCCTCCCAAAGTGCTGGGATTACAGGCGTGAGCCACCGCGCCCGGCCCGAGCCCCTGTCTTAATCAGTCAGTCACTCAGCAAGATAAGCAAACACAAAAGGTCTTGATGAATAATAATGATATTTTATTTCTGTAAACCTTGTTCTCATTCTTTTTCATAAATGAATAAATTCATATTTCTTGATTTAAGTTATATCTGTTACTTTGAGTTTGTTTTGATGAACTGTTAGGATATAGTTTATCTGCAAAAAAAAATTGAAAAAGAGAAAAAAGCAAAATGGCTGTAAATACTGCTTAACATAGAGCTATAGAGAACCCACACACACAGTGATAGTCATAAGGGTTCTGGAGCCAGAAGACCTAGGTTTGAGGTCTCATTCTGCCAGTGGTTACTTTGTGCCATTGGGCAAACTGTTTAGCTTCCCTGTGCTTCAGAATTCTCATCTATAAAAGGGGGATAATAATATATCAGCATCACCTCAGAGAGTTATTTTAAGGTAATGTATAGTAAATCACTTTGTAAACCATTAAACTCCATATAAATGTAAATTACTAATGTTGTTAGTGTTCTTTGAAAGTACCATGTATCCCATTGCTGCAGAAATGTTTGGATTTACGTTTATGTCCTTAACCATTTTGTAGATTGTTTAGTGATCCCAAGTGATTTTGTTTTTTTTTTTCTTCCCATAGAGCATATCATGTCCCAAGTGGCAAAATATTAGCTGTAAAGGTAAGCACTGGATACATTTTATGAGATTCTTAATGTTCACCTCTTTCCTTTCTCCTGTTAGCTTGAGTCACAGATATTGTCAAAGAGGTGATGAAATGGTTTAAGGTTTAGATGGTAGATAGAGAAAGCTGTGGCCCTCTGGTACCTGAAGATCTTTTAAGTAAGCCTTAAAATAGTCAATTGTAAGCTCCGTGTATTGTGATTCTTCTTGGCAAGAGGAGAAAACTTCTGTGTCACCTGCTAAGTGGCGTTACCTTCTTCCTTGTCATGCAGCTCAAAACCTTATTAGTAATCCTTTTTCTTCTATAAATGTGCCACATCCTGTGAATTGCTATATCCTGTTAGAAAGTTTCCCTGAAATATATTCATTTGCTACTTTCTTTTTATTCTCATTTCTATTGATTCATCTCCAGGATGCCTTTTTAGCTATCTACAGTGAGAAATTGGTCTCTCTAACAATTGTGTAGTATATATTTCTGCATCTTTTTTCTCATTTAGGAAGCTAAGAATCAAAGCAATTACATTGCAATTACTTATGCCTTTTAGTAAGTTGAAACCAAAACTAAGGCTTAGATCCTGACTGCTAGTGAAATCCAGAGTTGTTCTTCTATATCACATCTAGTATAGCACCTAGAATGTGTTATGTGACATTGTCAAGTCCAGTTTTAATCAGTTAAATAGCTTGTGAGGAGGTACAACAGAACTTCCTTTGAGATGTTTTCTTTGACAGTTCAGCCATGTAAAGTCTGTAGAATTGTAGAACTGGAAGCGACCTTGGAAATCATTGGTTACAGCCCCCACATTTTACAGAGGCACTCAGCTCACTGACAGCAGCTCACTCATACCACTTTGGCGCTCACTGAGTGCGGCTCTGATGTACCACCTTGGCATTGGATTAATTTTTCTGTACCTCCTGAGCTCCCTTTTCAATAAGAGAATACTTCCATTAACTTGAGCACTATTTTCGCATCCATTGAGTTATTTTTTGTTCCTTTTATGTCAAAAGTCTTAAATTGTTGTTGATGATATATTTAGATAGTCAACTCTAGGTTATTTACTCCAGGATAGGGAAACACTGTTATAAATCATCCAGAAACCTATCATTATTTGGCCTTGCCAAGTACATTATACATTTTTTATAATTTCATGTATTTTGAATTATGTTTATGTAGACTAATATTAAAATTCTTGTGCATGAGTTGGATGTGGCAAGGGGCCAACAGCCTTATCTGGAAAGGGTTAAAAGCAATTTTAAAGAAAGGATATATTTACAAAATAGCTGTTAAAGTAGAGACTGTCAGTAAATGAAAATAGTTGGGATTTACAAATATGCGGTTCACTAGACCTGACCATTGAACTGGGCTTTACAGCAAGAACTGTACTGTATTCACTTTGTATCTCTAGATTTCATAAAGTCACATAGAAGATGTTCACACTGAGTTGAATGAATGCATGATTTAAGAGCAGATATGATTATTGTGATTAAACTTTTGTGTAGCCCTGAGCTTGTTGGTAGTTCAGGCAGAAACCATGTAACTTATATAATAGTCATCATCTAAGAAAAAGAAAATTACCATTTCTTCAAAATAGGCAGAATTTTTAATTCTTAGAAGTGTGTTAGTTTCTAAATATTTGGAGATTTTCCAGATATCTTTCTGTTACTGATTTCTAATTTAATTCCATTGTGGTTACAGAACACCCTTCCTATAATTTGAATTACTTTAAATTTGTTGAGACTTATTTTATGGCTCAGAATATGACCTATTTTGCTAAATAATACTTGTACACATGAAAAGAATATATAACCTGCTTGTGCCTGTAATCCCTGCACTTTGGGAAGCTGAGGTAGGTGGATGGCTTGAGCTCAGGAGGATGAGATTAGCCTGGGCAACATGGCAAACCCCTTCTCTACAAAAAATACACACACAAAACTTAACTGGATATGGTGGTGTGTGCCTGTAGTCTCAGCTACTTAGGAGGCTAAGAGGGGATTGCTACAGCTGAGGAAGTTGAGACTGCAGTGAGCTGTGATTGCACCGCTGCAGCCTATTCGGGTGGCAGAGTAAGACCTCATCTCAAAAAAAAAATTAAAAAAAAAAAAAAACATATATATATATATATATATATATGTATAAAGTCCACTGTATAGGGTATTGTAATAATGCCAATTAGATCAAGTTGGCTGATAGTGTTATTCAAATCGTCTATATCTTTACTGATTTTTATCTAGCTGTTCTATCAGTTTTTTAAAGAGGGGTGTTGAAATACTCAACAGTAATTGTGGCCTACACTTCTGTTATTTTTTACTTAATGTTTTTTGAAGATATTCTTAGATGTATTTATGGTTGTTATGTTCTGTTGATGAATTGGCCTCATTGCCATTCTGAAGTAAACTTCTTTGTCTGTGATCATTTTCTTTGCTCTAAAATTTATAGTCTGATATTAAATTATAGACTTTATTTTGATTACTGTTAGCATAATATCTTTTTTTTTTTTAACTTTTAACCTATTGTGTCATTATTTTTGAAATGTATTTCATGTAGGCAGCATATAGTTGGGTCTTGTTTTTAAATTCAGTTGGATGATCTCTGCTTTTTAAGTGGGGTATCGAAACTATTTACATTTCATGTGATTATTGATATGGTTGGATTCAAATCTATCATTTTGCTCTTTGTTTTATATTTGTCCTGCCCGTCTGCCCCCTTTTTTAAGTGATTGCTTTAGAATTCATAGTAAACATTTTCAACTTCACCTAGTCTCCCTATGTAAATAGTATTGAACCACTTTATAGTCTAGAAGTCTTACAATGGTATATTTTCATTTCTCTCATCCCAGCCTTTGTTTTATTATCATGTATTTTACAACCTCGTATGCTATAAACCCCGGAATACATTGTCAGTGTTTTTGCTTTTGATATTTATCTTTTAAAGACATTTAAAAAGTAAGAAAAATAGTGTTTTATTTTTATTCATGTATTTACCAATTCCAGCTCTCTTCATTCCTTTGTGTGGTTCAGATTTCCATCTGGTATTGTTTTCCTTCTGTCTGAATGACTTCTTCCTTTACATTTCATATAGTGTAGGTCTTTTGGTGTTGAATTCTTTCAGCTTTTGTATGTCTAAAAATGTGTATTTCACTTTCATTTTTGGAAGGTATTTTATTTTTTGCTGGATGTAGAATTCTAGGTTGACTGCTGTTTTCTTTCAATATTTTAAAGATTTTGTTTCACTGTTTTCATTCTTTCTACTGAGAAATTTACTGTCGTTTTTAATCTTTATTCCTCTGTACATTAGAACTGGCTCCATTTCTGGCCGCTTTCAAGATATTTTCTTTATCACTAGTGTTAAGCAATTTAATTATGATGAGTGTTGATGTATTAATAATTTTCTTCATAATTCATGTGCTTGGGGTTTGTTGAGATTCTTTGGGTTTGGGAAGTTTTCATCTAATTTGGAAAAATTTGCCATTTTTCTTTAGATAGTTCTCCCTACCATTAGGAACTTGTTGTATATGTATTATGTCACTCGAAGTTGTCTTGTCACTTGAAGTTGTCTCAGTGAAATGATGCTCTGTTTTAGTCATTTTTCTGTGTTTCATTTTGTATAGTCTTTTCTGTGCATCTTCAAGTTCACTGACTTTTTTCTTTTGCATTTTCTAATTTGCTGTTAATCCCTCCCGGTGCATTGTTCCCATTTTAGGTACTACTTTTTATCCCTAGAGGTTTAGATGGCCTTTATTTACATCTTTAATGTCTCTACTTAACATCTTCAAAACTTGCTTTCTTTTTTTTTTTCATTTTTATAAATAAAGACGGGGTTTCACCATGTTGCCCAGGCTTGTGTCAAATTCCTTTGATGGTTAATGTTGTCAACTTGATTGGATTGAAGGATGCAAAGTATTGCTCCTGGGTGTGTCTGTGAAGGTGTTAACATTCACAGAAATTAACATTTGAGTTAATGTTAACATAGGAGGTTAACATTTAAGTCAGTGGACTGGGAGAGGCAGACTCATCTTCAGTCTGAGTGGGCGCCAGCTAATCAGCCACCAGCTCGGCTAGGATAAAAGCAGGCAGAAGTTTGAAGGACTTGACTTGCTGAGTCTTCTGGCCTTCAGCCTGCTTCCTTGCTGGTTGCTTCCTGCCCCTGAGCATCAGACTCCAAGTTCATCAGCTTTTGGACTCTTGGACTTACACCAGTGATTTGCCAGGTGGCTCTCAGGCCTTCAGCCACATGTTGGCTTCCCTACTTCTGAGGTTTTGAGACTTGGACTGGCTTCCTTGCTCCTCAGCTTGCAGATGGCCTATTGTGGGACTTCACCTTGTGATCCTGTGAGTCAATACTCCTTAATAAATCCCCTTCTTATATACATCTATCTTATTAGCTCCGTCTCTCTAGAGAACCCTGACTAGTGCAGAAATGGTATTTAGTGACTTTTAAATAATTTGATCCCTTCAAGGCTTGCTTTTACGTTTTATCAGATAGTACCAGCTCAGTGGTTGAACTAATTTTCCCCCTGCAACTGAAGTAGTAATCTTGAGTACTGTAACTGTTGCGTTGAGAATTGCAAGGTTTTCCACACTGACCGGTGGGAATACCCAGTATTAATGCCCAGTATTAATCTGGAGATTGTTCCTTCTGAGCCTTTCTGGTGGTTTTCTCCCTGGCCTCAGGTGATTTCCTGACATCTATATGCAGATGATTCATTACTCAGCTGTAGAGTCCAGGACCCCCTTGGCAGATCTCTGGAGCTCTGGAGCTCTCTCTCAGGTCCTCTGACGGCTCTGTGCCCTCTGCTCCTCTAGCTTCGTTCTCCTCCTCAGAATCTTAGTTTTGTTTTCTCACCTTAGGGAGGTGGCTTATCTCTGCCTGGGTTCTCTTCCCTGCGCTGGGGCCTGGAAACTTACTCTCGTCAACAAGCTGGGCAATCTTAGGGCTCATCTTATTTCTTTTCCATCTTTCAGGGATCACTGCCCCATTGTGGCTAATGTCCAATGCCTGGAA